CCCCTCTGAACGTTCCTTAACATAGCAGTGTGACATGTTGGCAAGCAGCTGTTTTCTCCAGACCTTGGCAAGACACAGCACAAGTGCTGAGCCACGAGGGGGACGTGCAGGTGAACAAACGCCAAACGAGGACAAGCAGCGAGGTGACTCGCGGAACCTTACCGACATGCTCTGCTCTGCACCGCGTCTGACAGCTCAGCGGCTGATTAGCTGGTGCCACACAGAAACCCCCCTTACTGACAAAGTGACTTTGAGGTTTTATTCATGGCCAACGGTGGATGCAGAGCAATTCCTGCTCTGGAATATCTTCTTTCCTCCAGATGGCTTTACACACGGCGCAGATACTCTCAGAATCAACCGCAGGGCTCCAGATGAAGGACTGGCTTAGAAGCTCCCAACACACGCAGCGTTCAGCGTAACACCAAATGCAGCCCCTGCCAGACACGGGTGGGCTGCACCCAGAGGGCAGAGCAGGACAGTGGGGGTCTGTAACTACGTGGGACTCTACCTAGGAGCGTGCCTGATAGAGCAGATTCTGCACAGTTTGTCTTTACCCAGTGCATGGGGAAGACCCAGCCTATGCTATCATACTCACCAGACAAGCTGTAAGTAAATACATTAATACTAGCATCTAATGTGCTTGATCCAGATGCTTCCTCTTCCACCCCAGATCTGTCTGCTGACTGACAAACATCAGACCACATGAAACTAAATCACATCACTGAATATTGCAGAAAGTCACCTAGTGGGTGGAAAAAGGGTACTGCATCAGCTTTGGGCCACATGTGACACCCATTCAACAGAACAGGAACCCTACCAACCCACTCAGCACAAGCCTAAGATTTCACTTACAGCATGTTAACAGAAAGCAGCACACAAAGCTTCCTCCCCCGTTCCCAAAATATATATATTTTTGCTTAGGAAATCATCTGCTCCTCATCGGAGAACCAAAATAATGCTAAGAGATATTTCATGGCTACAACTGAATGACCCATGGCTAACCACCTTGTATGAATCAAAAGAACAGGATTACAATAGGGAGGCTTAGAACTTTGACTCCTTAATCTATAAAATGATTTCATCTTCTGCCCCCAGCCTGTTCCTAGTGCTACATTACCGTAAAGGACAAAAAGGGCTTTTGTCCACACACTTAACTCAGCATGGCTGCAGGGGGAGAAAGTTGCAGCGATAACCAAGAGCCAGGATGCCCAGGACAGCCCAAAGTAGGACTGGAAAACAGCTTTACTGAAAACACTGAGTATCGGTAGGAAAAATAAATAACAAATATTCCATAAAAATCTACAATTACTTTACAAGACTAAATAATAATTGATTATATTAATGCACAATTTTATTTTTAATAAGCTTAAAAAATATCCAAGCAAGAAGATCCTCCTAACTCTCAAGACAGTACAAACCAACCAAACAAAAAACAACAGGTAGCGAGTGTGTCTGAGACAAAGCTTGCTCACAACGCAGTGGGGATCACACTGCACCCTCAGCTGAAAATGAAAGCATGGACACAGCTCCAGAGCAGAGTCCAACATCGATTATGTAACTGCTAACACAGTGCTGCATTATGACAAACACGGTAACAGTGGAGACGCTTAATTTGCTGCCCTATTTCTAAACAAGCTTGATCTAATTTTTACATTCTTTGGTTACCTAAACACAACTGACCGTGCTGCGCGGTGCGTTCCAATCCAAGGCAGAGGAAGCTTGGTTCTTCCAGGCCCTCTCATGGACAACAATCCCTCTTCACTCTTCCTCCACATACAGCCCTTTTTGGCCTAACACAACAGACAGTCTGGTTCATACAACTTTATGTTAAAGGCTAAGCAAACCCGAGGAGCACTTCCACATGCCCTCTAGCATTATCTCTATATATTTTCTATCTATTTCATGGATTAGAAGTAGTTAAATTTCCCTTCATGTTTGTGCTGTACCTAGTTTACATAATCGAGTTTGCAGCTTTAATGCTCAAGATCTGCAATATGGCAAACCTTTTCAACCCCACGTATTCTTTCACTTCATTTTTTCTCTTTATCATTAAAGGGCTGTGCAAACATCTCTTTAACAAGTAAGCACTGCCTAGCATTACTTTCAATATCGCTCACAATGATCAGTCCTAAAAAAACAAAACAAAACAAACAAAACAACAACAACAACAACAACAAGAATCTCAATGACCCAAGTTATTTCTTCCAGGTCATAAAAAACAGAAACACCGATAACTGAATCCAGAAGCACTTTCCCAGTCTGAGTCAGAAGGAAGCTCATCCACATTCTTAAGTGTTATTTTATTTTCCTTCCCTGTGAAGCACCCAAACCATGCATAAAAACCACAAAGACGCTTTGCAGTGAGAGAAAACCACATGATGGCAAAAGCTAAAGGGAAAAAAAAAAAACACAAAACCTTGTAATTAAGGAACGTTCACATTTCTGGACAGAATGTATTATCTCTACTCACACCAATTTTTCACACCAATTTTTCGCCTTATTTTCACTCAACAATCACACTGAAATACAAATGCATTCCTTTTAACAGGATCACTCACCAACAGCAGAAAGAAATGCCAGGCACTTAGGACAGTGCAATACATGAGTGAGAAAAATCAACATCTCCTCATTGCTGATGTGTTCATCAGAGTACTGTTGTGGTTCCAAGCCAGCTATTAACTGCAGTAAGTGAGGAAGTGCCCTATGAGGCATTCATCAGTAATACAGGTTTGTAAAGAGAAATGCTTAAGGCATCTTGCAATGATGCAAGCTATACAGTAACTTACAGACCGAGAACGCACTGCTGACAAAAACAAATAGAACAACCAGTACATATACTTACAGCAGGCAAAGGAATGCAGAGCAGCAGCCAACGCACATGTACTGCACGTACTGCACTGACACCTGAGTGTAAGAAACAGCAATGTTCAGGTGGAGCTCTCAGCGCCTCTCTCCCAGAACATCTTTCAGAACAGAATTTCCCTTTATGAAATAATATTTATCTGTAAACAGCTAAATACCTGCCGCCCTGCGTGCAAGGAGCTAACACAAATGCGCACAAGTAACCATTATAACTCTAAGGACAGTTCTGCAAGTAGGTCACGTAAGGCAAGCCCCCACCATAGCAATATACAAAAGGAAGAGAAGACAAAGTGCCTGCAGCATAACAGATCTAATATCCTTATAATAAAACTAGTCAGGAAACAAGGAACAATTCTACGTGCAATGAGATTTTCAGTGCGAAATGCTGGAGTAATATCTTCTCTCTGCCTTGAAGAACAGCAAAAACTGAGTTGCTGGGTGTCCTAGCTCTGAGTTACCAGACTTCACATCTGAATCTCACTCTTGCTTGCCAGGACAACTTCACCATGCCAGTGCTGGACATCAGGCCTCTCCCAGCCCAGGCAGTCACTCAAACACCACTAAATGCTACAGGCTGCCAAGGAGCACCAGATGGGAAACATTCCACAGAAAATGTTGTACTTAAGCTGATGGAGAGTGTTTATCTCAAATGTCTCTAACAACGTGCTCCACTTTGCTCAGCTCTGTTCTGCCTCTTTTGCCCACAGCTGAACCCAAACTCAGTAACACACTGCCACACAAATCCCGCACGCTGCCCAGCCACAACCAGGGGCTGCTGGGTAACAGAGCCCACGAGGCACTGCATACAGAACCGAATTCTGAGCAGCACAACAGCAGGACAGTGGCAGAAAAAAGAGCGAAGAAATTAGAAGACTCGGAGGAGCCCTGTGGTAGACCACATAATGTTTTTCCCCTATAGCTCAGCGGCACGAAAGCTTCCCCTTCATATTAATGATGGTTTATAGCAAAAGTTCTATTATCTGAACAAGAACACATGTCAAGCACTAAGAGGCAACCTGCCACTGACCATCTGCTCAATGTCACACACATCTCAGACCACCTCTCACCAGGCTTTTTTTCCACCAGGTTCTTCTGGTATTTTACACTCCCAACGCTGTGATCTTTAACAACACAGTATCCTATTTTAGATGCACTCATTCACATAGCTAACTTCTGATTGAGTGCCTAAATGAAAGCAAAGAGTTTCTTCCTTCATCTGATACCTTTCTGTTCTCTCCTTCAAGGGAATGGTAACAGCTGTAACAGCTTCATCTCTCACCAGGTCCTAAGATCAGTACTTGTGAAACAAATTATGTCACTGATACGTTACTGATAAGGACTACTAAAAAACAGATCTGAGTATGAATGACAAAGTCGTGCAGAGCAAAAGTGACTGTGCAGTTGCTACCAAAAACAGGAATGACAGCAAGTGGAAAGTACAAATAACTTTGTTATTAAATGTAATAAATTAAGCACAGACACAGTTGAAAATACTGACAGATCTCATCAACTTTTAAAAAAACCAACACATTTATTAACACGACTTCTAACTTGTGGGGAATGAAAGCTGCTCTCCATAATGCACATGGGGACCCGAGTGGCCTAGAAAAATGAGCTGTCATTTGCCGGCAAAACAACACAAGAATAGACAACAATAGTCCTAGCAAATTAGGAAGAGATTTTGCCAACAAAGAGATAGAATTCATTTCCAAAACTGCATTGATCTCCTTTTCAGTATATCCGAAGAATCAGATCTCCTGTATTCGTGCACGCTGCTATTCAGCACACTCAGATGTGCCAGTCTTTAAATAATTCAGACAGCAAAAGGAATAAAAGGAAGAGAGGAGGGAGACAGCAATTTGAGCCAAGTGACAGGGACAGCACATGAAGAAAATGCTGAGATATCCATCAATATCTTTAAAAAAATCAGGGTTTTAGGTTCCAAGCATCAAGTTCTGCTGTATTTCTCCAGCAAGAGCAACGGGAATATACAATTGCAAGCAGCTCTCAAACAAGAGCATTACGACGAGCCCCACAGCGGTGCGTTCCGGCCCAATGAAGCCGGCTCAAGTTTCGGGCAGGTTTTGTGTAAGCTCAGCAGTAACTGAAGGCACAAAGTCCATTCCTCCAGCGGGCCGTGCAACCGCCGTGCCAACGTAACCACGGATGGAAGCAGCGCAGCAGAAGGCTGCCACGAGCCGATAGAGCGCTTCTGAATCATAGCAACGCGTGTGCAAACAAAGACTCGGTAAGGACCACGTCGCAAAGATGACATCAGCTGTGCTTCCAGCTCTAACGAGACCGGCATTTATGCGGAAGGCACAGACCGACCCCGGGAGGCCCGTTATCCCCGCGCGAAGCCGGGCCGCAGCAGCCGACGGGAACCGCAGCCCCCGGGCGAACCGCCGGAGGAAGGCGGCGCCAGTGCTGCGGTACAACTCGACGTCCAGCCGCGGTTCCCAGCAGCTCCACGCGCGCTCGCTGCACGCCTCGCCAGCCGCCTGCGGGCACGCGACGTGTCGGAGGCCGCACCGCTTCTGCTCCGGCACGGCGGTGCCGCATACGTGCGGGGCTCGCGCCGGGCCCGGCAACGGGCGCCGACGGGCGCCGGGTTCTCCCTGCCCCCGGCCGTGAAACCCCTCGGGGCCGCGCGCGCCTCACCTGGCGCCTCCGTTGCGGGCCGCGCGCCGCCGGCACAGTTTCCACAGCGACCGCCGCGGCGGGGAGTTCCGGGCGGCACCGCCCACGCGCAGCCGTGCTTCGAACCCGCCAATCGCCGCGCGCCCCCGCGCGTCCCCGAGGCGGGGCGGACGGCGGCACCAGGCGCTACGCGCACGCGCGGAGGCCGCCCGCGGCGGAAAGTCGCATCTTTCACAGCGGCCAATGGGAGCAGCTGGCGGGCGCAGGCACCGCCAGATGGGCGGCGAGCCCGGCGGGTGTGCGCGAGGCCGGGGAAAGGCGCGGGGCGGCGCCTCGCGGTTGTGAGGTTACGTCCTCCTGCCTCCGCTGCCGGCAGGTAGGCGAAATCGAACACTGCTGCCGCTCACGGCGCCGCGCGTTACTCTGCTACCTTCATCCACCGCGCGTGGGCTGGGGGGCGATGAGAAATCAATCGAATAACGGTGAGCGGGCGGCGAGCGGCGCGGCGGAGAGCGCGTTCTTACAGAGCTGCCGTAGCGCGAGTTGCGTTACCGGCCTCGGCTCCGGTTACCAGAGGTTTCGCTGCTGCGCTCGAGGGGAAAGAATAGCCAGCAGTTACCTGCGCTGCAGTCTGCTCTCCTTTTCCTCTTTGTCCCCGCAGCACCGCACCCACACCATCCCGGCCCAGCCACCAGCCCGAATCCACGGCACAGCTCCGAAACAGCCACATTGGCCTAAGAAAGCAGGTCGTACTTGGAACTGTACTGAATATACAGTAATTCCTACTCATCCCTGATGGATTTCAATCCATGCACTAATTGAAGCTCTATCCCCAAAAAACAGAGGAACGATGCCGTTCATTCGGCCCACAGAGGAGGTGAGCAGGCAGTAAAGCAGCACAGAGCAGCAGTGGATGGAAACCCAAATGAGCTGCTCGATTCCAAATGAGTTACACTGTGTCACAGACACGACTGATGCAGAACAAGATGACCTACCTTGTGATGGAGATGGGGGAATAGCCTGTGAACACCATGGCAAGTCAGACCAATTGAATGACTGCACTTATATCCCTGATGCTTTAAACTTATCTTCAGAAAGAGGTAACAGAAATGCATCAAGTTACGAGATTTATGTACAACCTGAAGGTGTATTTAACTATGCTGAAGGAACCATAGGAACAAGTGGAATTTCAGCTGGAATACCTGGAAGTGAACTGTCCTTTAAAAAGGACAGCTGGTGTGGTCAACCAGATGGCAGAGACCCTCCAAGTCACTCCAGTATGTCCCATGTCCTTCTGCGCCATTTCCCTACAGGAGAGTTAACGAGCAAATGGCAGTTGATTGAACATGAGACTATACCAGAAACATCCCTGACTGAAAGCATTGATGAAACCACAAACAAGCACACAGCTTGTGAATGCGTCCAAGGCCCTTCAACAGGTGAACAACAGGCAGCCAAGTTTGAAGAGCACCACTTAGAAAAGCTGAAAGCAGTGAGTACTGAAGGGAAAATTCAGGATTTGCTAAGTAAAAACACATTTGTTTCAAAAACCTCTACTTCTACTCTTGCTAAGCATGGGTGCAGACAAGAAAATTTGCTGTTGATTAATGAGTATGAAGATGCATGTATCTTTCAAAACACAGAGCAGACATACATGTTTAAGAAATCAGTTCCATCTCATGAGCTCATAGCGGGCCAAGGTGAAGCTCAGAAGTGTCAGGAAGACAGTAATGAAGTCACTTCAGAAATGACAGTACCAAAAATGAGTGAAAATAATAAATCCATTCCCACCATTAAAAGAACAACATCCTTCCCTACATTGCTAAGTAAATCAGTAACCATTAACAGCATTCTAGAAAATCGGAAATGTTTCGATTCCATTGAAGTCACAAATCAGGAAGGAACAAGCATTCCAGAATCGTCCCAACAACAAAAGGTAATTAGGATAATTTAATAAATTGAGAATTTCTTAAAACAAGAGTGATGTGTACCACTTCAGTCAGTAATCACTTCCACAAAGTTATGTGGGACATAATCTCTATGGAGATTTCATTACCAAATTTATGATGCTCTGTCCTGTTATTCCTGACGGCAAAGCATTGTAGTACATCACCAGGAAATCCACTATAAGCAATTAATTCCAGTATTATATGAAAATGTTCTCATTCACTAAAAATAATATAAATGGGGATTTCTTAAAATATTTTTAATCCTGTGCCTGTTTTTACATTAAAGACTTACACTCTTCAGCTATTCAGGCCAGCATTCATTGAAAGGTCAGGATTTTTTTGTTTTGTTTTTGAAGGTTTTGCTCTATAATAAGATCTGTCTTACAACAAATTTTAAGATTTCTCTTACAGTAGTAACTTCCTGTTAAGATTTGTTGGTAATTAGATAATCACTTCTTACTGTCATGCCCTGCCACTGAGTTCACTCCAGAGCTAAACAGATGCTTAAGTCCTTTCCTAGGCTTATCCCTTCATAAACTGTTCAGGATGGAACAACTTCTAATACTTTTCCCTATTACTTCTTGATGGTACATTGAAATGTGAACACAGCTTGCTGACATCAAGAATCATACTGATTTTCTGAGATACAATCAGATACAGAAGTCCTCTAAAGAAACCTAAATTCATTCTTATTTCTATGACTCCAAATAATCATCAGAACTTTCCTGTCACCTTTATAATACACTTCCCCTTTACACAAATTGTCTAAATACTGATTCATAACCCAAGTTGCATATTTCAGTATATACACTATGAGATACACAAACCGAAGTCAAAGCAAATTACATGATACAGTTATAACCAACCAACTTCCCATTAACTTTAGAAAGTAGTCCTATGCATTTCCTAACTTTTTATTCTGCAGAGCATTCTGCATGCTTCTTCCTCAAACCATGATTCTCCCTTTGACAGGTACTACCTCAGTCAGGTTTTCCAAATGCAGGGTTTGCCATTTACTCAGGAGACATTGGAACAGCCCCTGAAGCCTCTACAGCAGACACTTCTGTCCTACAGCCTTCACATGGTTTGTCTGAACCAAGTAAGTGCAAATACCTAACTCATTTCAAGTAAATCAATAGCACTTTTGGCTAGAAGTTTTGGAAAGAAGTCCAACTAATACATTTTCTCATTACATAGGATTGCCGTGTGGGAAAACAGTATCTGCATTTCCAACAACTCATACAGTAGAACTGTGCAGTCTAAATGCTTCTAATTCACTGCCCAAAATAACCCAAGGAGAGATGATGTCTCAAATGCTGAAGGAACAGACAGATCAACTAAAAATTAAAGTAAAGAGCTCTGTTTCAGTATCTGTTTTGCATTGATTCTTAGTTTTATGGTAACTTGGCATGTTTGCTTTTAAAAAACAACATCTAAGTCTACTATTTTCTCTTGAAGGTGGAAGACTTCTCTAAACACGTGACCAAGGAGACATTCCTCTTACAAGATGATTATCTGGTAAACTAATGTCTTTCCAGTTACCTGAAGTGTACTTTAATTGGCTAGACTTGAGATTTTCTGGCAATACATTCAGTGTTTTTCTCAAACAGGCATTTGAAAATAATTTGTTCTGAATCTCAGACTTAAACTGAGGTTAAGAAGAAGAATGAAGGAGCTCAGTAAGTGGCTCAGTTCTTTAAAATTAAAGACTACAGTTAGGAAGTAGTTCGTGAAAGGCCTTAAATTGGCATAGAAATCATTAATTGTGATTTGTAGGGTAGTGTGTCTGAAGGGTTATTTAGTATTTTACCTCTAAATGACCAAGCAGCACAGCGTACTGATAGGTATAATAGATACAATTCAGAGCAGCAGCAGAATTCTTACTAATATCACTGCAAATATCATCTGTCTTACATAGCATTTGTAGATATTACAGTATCTTGTTAATGATAACATCATTTACTTTTGAACTCTCTGTTATTGGTGAAGGCATTAAATCAACTGAAAAGATACCTTGAAGCCTTGGAAAGGAATTATTTAACTGCTAGAGAGGAGCATCGTAACTTACAGCTGCAGTACTACAAGGACAAGTCTGTCAACATTGGAGAATTTGACCCCAAAAGGTCTGAAGATAAATGCTAAGTAGTTCATCAGTGTATTTTCCATATTTTGGAGCATCTAACCACTATTACTTTATCAGTCACACTTTTCAGAGGTGAAAACATTATTTTAATATCACACAGGATAAGCTCGACATTACTTGGCCAAAATTCATCTCATGCTTTACATATCCTTGTTATAATAATGGTAGCTATTTGACTAATTCAAGCATTTAAAAGGGACTCTGAACTCCATTTCTTTCTTCCCTCTATGAACTGTTTATTGCAATGCCAAATACAGTCATCATAGTAAGAAACAGAATTTTCACTAGCTGTGTATTGTGATTGATTTTAGAAAGGTAGAAGGGGAAATATTTAGACTTGGCACGATGCTTGAAGACATCAAAGAACTAGCAGATGACAGCAGGCACAGATGGGCTCCTTCACCTAGTTCCTGTGGATCTGCCCATTCCTCATATTCTCTTTGGGAGGTAACTGAGTCTTACCATTTAAAGACTGCATTATTCCATTTTATTGAAGAAAAACAGAGTGGTTATTGCATATTCTCCTCTAACATTTGTAAAACCATGATGCTTTTGAATAGCATGTTACTTCAAGAAAAGGTTTTTTCCATGAAATTGTAGCTTAATTTTTCATTAACTGTAAAAAAAACTTTAGTATGAACACAGCTGCACTGAGTAATCTAAGTGCTAGCTTCAAAAGCATTCATTTCTGAGTAAGAAAATGAGCAATTATTTTCAGTTTTACAGAGCTTTCTGGTTTTGAAAATTCATTATTATAATTCAGCTGGAAGAACGATTACTTTGTCCAAGATTCTTTAACTGCAGAACTGCTGGAAGACTAAGCATTCTGCTACAGAAAACTGAGTTTACTGTTAAATATAGTAATATTTTGTCCTGGATCATAAATACATGGAAAAAATTGAATTAGTTCTCCACAAAACAAAAGATAAATATCTTCATATGCTTTCATTCTCCATATTTTAGAAGTCATTTTTCTCTGCATCTCAAGCAAAAGATAATTAGAAAACGCAGGCTGGTACAAGTCATCTACTTGAAATACTCTGACTGAAAACTGCTATCCTGGGGTTACTTTATACAGAGCTCAGTACTTTCAAGTATTGCTGATTCCCCTGAAGAAAATACATTTCTTAGCAAGAACAATGAAGGAGAAAATACAAGCCAGACAAGTTCCGTAACTCCACAGAGAAATGCCCACTTCTCTTTGCAGTGTGACAGATGCAATCTTCGTATTCACACGTAAGCATAAAACTTACACAACTACTGGAATTATCACAAAAAATGGTACTGCAACCATTTGCTGAGTACAGAAAGTTAGGGTGCCTGGAATATCTGAAAGCAGGTAGAATGCTCGCAGACTCAGCTTCTCAGAGAGCCCTAAAACCTCCTTCCAGGCTGGCACTCCTACTCCAAAGCCAAAACACTACTGCCATCATTTTGCTAAGAGTCAAATCATACCTCTGTATAAAATTGATTGCAACCGCACTGATTCAAGATATGAGTGACTACATACAATACCAGTACAAAATGTTTGCTTACATTTGTGTAGTATTTTTAACTAAAAAGAGTGCAGATGTTTACATAATTAACCATCAAAACTTCAAACAACTCTAAAGTATCTGTACTCCTTTGCACGTATTTTATGAGATCAGATCAAATGTTTTCCTCTTAACCAATTAAGGTTACAGAAGAGAGCCGAATCAACTTATGGGAAAGAAATGGATCCTCTGGGAAAAAGTTGTCTGCTAGCAAGCAAGTATTCTTCACATGAAATGGTATGAGAAGTTTTCATGTTCATTCTAGTTTAGATGAACATAATAATATTCTGAAATAATAATATATAATATAGTATAATATCATATTTATGTAATATGAAAACATTTTCCCATTTAGTTTTTGCACAACATGAAAGCTCACCTTTTGAGGTACTACAGTTGTATAACTTGTATTGATTTTGAAAGAAAAAAATTGAAGGCACACTAAATATTTTTTGAACTATGTGATGATTAGCTGTGTTTACTAGCCTGCTTTTATTACTAGCTCAGAAGGCAACAACATACAGGCAATTGCTTGCCTACAAAACCTTTCAATTTTAAGGCAATAACGGAAGTAGATAATGTGTTAACCTTCTTCAACACTACATGACAATATCTTGTATTCCAACTTTACAGGTTAAGAAGTATTGATAAGTTGTCCAATTTCCTTTACCATTAGAATGGTAACAGACCAAACTGTAGATTTGATGGCAACTAGACAACTAGAAGCTGTACAGATTTAATGTACACTTGATGCTGCTGTTCACACTGTGTGATGAGTACACAGTAATATAAACAAAATATCAGTTTGTTTTACCATCTGTGCACAACAGAGATTCTTTTCACCTGAAGGAAAATATGAGGCGGAAGGTCTTGGATTCCATACTCAGGGTACATTAAGTCAGAAAGATAGTGCCAGTGAAGAGAGTATGAAAGGGTAAGCATATTAAATGTTTTGGCTAGGTACACACACTTCTCTTCAGCTAAATGAACTGATACATGCATGTGCAGTGTGCCTCTATTCTGGACTCTGCTCACTACACTGAAAATTCTTCTGATATGTATGAAATGCAAGGATGATCTGTTTTCTAAATCATTACCAGTTAATCACATGGTATGAGATATATCAGACCACTGGAGAATTGGAAAAACACCCCTCTTTTTTTAAAGACCGGATTATTTTCCATATTATAGTAGCTCATCTAAGTGGTATAAAACTTAAATAACACACGCTTACTTTAATAAAGCGTGGAAATGTTTACTCTTTTTTCAGTGATGGATGACCACAAAACATTCAAGCAACAACAGTAATAACCTCAAATATTTGTAATGAACTAATCTGGTAGTCTTGAAAGGAGAGCATATTAGTACCTCCATATATATTTCAAGTGCAAGGGTTTATCTGTCAAGTTTCATTTACAGATTCATCAAGGTGCTAAAATAGTTCCATATGGCTCAGTTGGGCTTTAGAACTTCCCGCAAATCAAGTCTCCATCCAAAGTCAGATCTCACAACATTCAGTGCACAACATAATCATCATCATGTTAGTATGCTGAAAGAAGGCAAGCATGGGAGAAAAATGCTGACTATTTACTGAATAAATACTAATATTTATCTAATAAAATTCACCTAGCTTGCTTCCTTCTCCCTGTCATTTAAGGAATGCTCAATCTTTCAGTGTTTCCATGAGTAGATAAGAAAAGCTTGCCAATAAATTTGCTGACACTACATTCCCTACAGTGAAAACATGTATATCAAATACTGCAAACAATGATCCTTACTCCTGTTTTGACAGAAAGTACATCACAAGTATTCCTCTAATTCCCCAAAGGCTGCAAAACTGAAACCTTAATAGCTCAGTTACAAAGAAACCATATCATCCTTACCAGTGATAATATTTTGATACAGTGTGTGTAAGCATCTCTAAATACACAGAATTTTATACTCCATTGTTTCTCAGTAAGGTGCCTATTATTTTAAAATAAATTTATTTTAAGGTGTGCTGAACAGCTCTGATAAGGCAGAGTCTTTCTGTCAGAACGTGTCCTTTAACAAAGTCATTGTTATGTGATTATTCTTTAATTTAAGCTTCCACTTGACACCTTTTTGGGTTGATGAAAAGATAAGAGTTCTTTGTATAGTAAATCTATTTTCTTCTCAGTTAAGTGGCCAAACACTAATACATCGGTAAGGCTTATCATAAAGATATCATAATCTAACTGAAATATCATTCTGTTTTCATACTCAAAGAAATAACATAATGGAAAGGAAAACTGGAACACATACAATCTTCATTCTAAGAAAACCGACCGATTTATCAGATAAAAATCTGAGTAAGTAGCAATGGGACACCAACATCAGAACTGTGTTTATACCTACTATTCAGTCTTGTTAAACAATCCACTCCTGTTACACCTACAACATGAAAATTATTTTGGAATTCCAACACATGCACTATGCTAAGCAGTAACAAGATACTAAGAATAAAAAGGAGACCATAAAGGAGATCACATGAAACCCACTTAGCCACTCACTGGCCTTAGTGGCAGACAAGCTACAATGAAATTAGCAGCAAAATACAAGCAAAAGAGGTTTTGGTTAGAATCAGATACTACAACAGTTCACCCCTGAGAGGATGTATTATCTCCATCCTCAGAGATACTGAAAACTTAACAGAGGTGTCCTAAGCTACTTGATATAGGTTGGTCCTGCTTTGAGGAGGGATTGGACCAGACCATCTCCAGAAATACTTTCCAAATGGAATTACTCTATAATTGTAACCCATCTTTTTAGATGCTTTTTTGAAGACTAACGTCTTCCAAAGCATAATACTGACATGCACGCTGTGCTTTGATAGTGCTTTTTCTCCTTATCAGATGCATTTATATCATATGCTAGAAGACCTGAAATCTGGAGTCTTAACATGAAGTTTCAATATCCACTTTCGGTTTCAGGATACAGCTTTCTTATTCTGCATAAAAACTAAATGAAAGGTTTTCCCAAACCTCTGTTCCGCTCGGGATGGAGACAAAAGACTGTATGTGTTCTCCTTCCTCAGGAGAACAACATGATTTCTAACCTAACATGATTTCTAACAACATGATTTCACCTAATCCAAGCTAGAGCCCTCACTGGCTATTTGTTAGCTGTCAAATCATTCAAGATCCCAGTTCTTGGAGATTCACTAAGAATCTCTAGACATTTGTTTCTCTTACAGCAGCTTCACTTTTCCTTTGCAGAATACTCCAAAGCTGTTAATATTCAACAACCTAGAAGAGTAGTATGAAGTGTCTTATATTTAAGTTTGAATACTTGTGGTTTGCTTATGCTTTGGGCCTACCTTTCATCCTTGATTTCTCATGGTGTCTTTTCCCTTAATATAATACAGTGGGCCTTCTATTCTTAGCACCGATTTGGTTAGTGTGTAAAACAGCTGCTATCCCAGCTTCTATCATGTTGTTAGGCTGCCTTGTTTGTATAATGCTTCAACTTTCGGCCATTTGAACCTCCAGAGCTAAAACCTAAGGACAGGAAAAGGGGAGCATTTCATTGTTTTTGTTTTGTTGTTGTGTTGTTTTTGTTTGTTTGTTTTTTATAAACACTTGTAGTACTGAAAAGAACAGTAAAAAGTGCATTTGAGGCTTACAGGCAGAGCTGAAAGCCATTCTTAACAGCTCAGACACTCCTGTAAAATGAATGGAAAAGTACTTCAAACTGCAGAACTGTTACTGACTGTGAAGGCCTTGGAAATTATTTAGCTGAAGTTCAATAATGACTTAAAACTAGAAATCTTGGCTTGTGTATTTTCAGATATTTTTCATGTGTTTTGGGATTTTAGACAATGATTCAGAAGCCATCTCAGCCTACCATTCTTATGGTTCACAAAGTGATGAATTTATGAAATGTGAAAGTCACCAAATTCTCCATGCAAGGCTACATAGAGAGAGAAAAGGTATAATGATTTCAAAAATACCCAAATCGACACCAAGTTTTCTTCTTTGCATTGTTCCAATTGTTCAATGATTTGTCTTTGTTTCAGGATTTAAATGCAGATGCTCCAGAGAAAGCCAAAATCCATTTAAACTCAGGAACTACAAGGAATCTGTTCAGTCTTGCACTCTACGTAGAAATAAAAACTCTGGTTCAACTTGTAAGTATGACACATTAGTGAAATAATTTTCAATTATGAGTCAAATTCTCAAAAGCAAAACAAGCTATTTTGTGCATGTATCAGGCTAAATTCCATTTAGTACGAGCAAGCCACAGCACTTCAGCTGAACAGTAAATGAGTACAGATCCTGGGCTGAAACGAGCAAATCCAACATTTACACACCTACCTGAGTTTAATTCCCTATGCACAACAACTACCACCTCTGCACTGCTCTTTGACAAGTCCCATATTTCACTGTAAACAGTATCACCTCCAGTTATCCAGTGCCACATAGAAGAATATTAAAACTGGCCATAATTACACCAACCTTCTCATTCCTGGCTGTACATACTATAAACAAGTATTAAAAGGGAATATCTGCTCAGCTCTGCACTGTGTGACATACAGCAAAGTCAAGGATTGCCTGGTTTTTTAAACATATTGAACATGTAGTTTTTAAAGTCACTTCTCTATTAGACTCCTTGTACTGTAGGAATAAATTGAAGGTAGTACCAACCTTCAATTGAAGGTAGATCAACCGAATTGATCTACTATTCAGCAGCGAGCAGAAAGTACAGGTTAGCTATTTCTCTATTAAGACAAAAAAACATTGCATCAAAGTGGCACTTACATCATTATTGGGACTGATGTCCTAATAATGCCATTATGCAACACTTTCTTCCTGGGGCCTTTCACTTTTAAGAAATGTAATACAAATCTATACATCAATCATTCAAGAGCTAAACTCAACCCAAAAAGGGAACACAAAGAAATATTTTAGTCTCGTTTAGATAAATCCTTAACATGTTCAGATTTTTGTTCAGTAGCCTCGTGAAATTAAGTTTTACACTGCTCAGAGAAAGATGCTAAATGTATACAACATTCCTCTTTCCTTTATTTCTACACATGGCTTCAACGTTGAAAGCTTATTTGCAGAAGAGAATCCCCAGTCAAAAGGCTCAAATAAATCAACAGCCACCTGAACCTGTCAACAGACTTTATCAAAGGTAAGCTACAACAACTGCATGTGTGCATTCATGATAACAAGAAATGCCATTATTAAAGGTTCAGCACTGAAAAAGTCATCATATCATAAGCAGGGGCAATGGCTTACCTTCTGTAGAGCTTGCTATGCATTACAATTTGACTCAGTAATGAAGTACCATCATGTAAATAATGACCTGAGTAGTTCTTCTATCTTTCTAGTTTAATGAATCAAGCTTCAGCTGACGTATACACTTCTCCATCTTGAGAAAAAGTAATTCTTAATTATTATTATATAACCACTTTCCCATTCACAGATCCCTAGAATAATAAAAACTTCTACAAATATGTCCAAGTGCTACATTTAATAATCCTTAACATACAATTATTCATAGAATCTGAGAAATAAAATGGATTCTTCACCATAGCACAGACTACACGAACTGAAACAAATTCTGTGACCATAAGTTTTACCAGCTTTATCAAATAACAGTAATTTCCTGCAAGTATGGTGGCCGCACTTGAGAATCTGTGGCACAGACTACTCAGAGAAGTTACAGCACCAAGAAAATGATGTTTTTATGAGAGATTTCCTGACTGCATTCTGGAATCTATTTTGTTTTACTGCAATACAGATTATAATCAGCTGCAATTTTATAATTCAGTCACTGTAAAACAGACTTGAAAATACAGGTTATCAAAATTATCAAATTTACAGTTTGAAAATACCTTGGCTTATCAGGTTGTGTATTTCACTACCTATTACATTTAGACCAAATTTTGAGGCTGATAAAACCTTGTATTCAAACACAGATGATCAAATAATCCTTTTGCATTAATGCTCACCCAGCAAGAAGTCTGCCCGAAACACATCCGCGATCATCAGAAACAGAACTGCCAAAGACTTCAACATAAACGTAAGACTGGAGAGTGAAAATCAGAAACCCTACAACTAATCAAAAAAATACATACCCCCATATCATGGCACTGTTGCACATCCCCCTTGTTAGCACACTGATTATCTCAGTCTAAGTTTGTCTAGTCCACTATGGGACAGGATGAGGAAGTGAGAAAGTTTTCAGTGCCACTTCAAAATCAGATATAATGCACTACATTCATATGAAGCTTAGTAAAAGGTAGAGCTCCTTAGATGAATACAGAAAATCATTTTAGTATTGCGTATGCAGTATAGTAATAATTTTTTGTATATTAACACATTACGTGTTAATACACACATGTATATAACACACTGTGTTTCTCAAATGTGAACAACTGCAGAATCTGTAGGTTAAACTGCCTTAACAGCTCTGAGCCATCTTTACTCTCCCTCCATTACAAGAGCTTTTTGTCCTGTGGTTTCATTTCAACACTGCAGGATTACACAAAGAGAAATAAGTAACAAAAGCTTCAACTTAAATCCTTGAGTAGCCTTCAAATACGTTTTACTTCTCAACTTCTCAATGTATTCCAAGTAGGTATGTTGAAAAAGCTACAGAGAACCTTAACTACACAGCACTTCCTTTTCTATACCTACCTCAGCAAAGCTGTATTTTACTGCTTCCAACAGATTTTAAATTCTACTCTGGATCATGCAATACAGACAGCAAACAGCTTGAAGAAAGCTACAGAAAAAATGGTGCAAGCAATTTCGGAAGATCTAGCTAAAGCTAGAAGAAAACAGCTTTAACCATCTAGTTTCAGATGCTACATTTTTTTGCTGGTTATAAATAATAAACATCTCTACAAATATAAAATGACAAAGATTAGAAAATCAGCTAGCTTTAGTTCTATGATTGTCAGTACTAACTGGTACATGTGGTATTCCACATTAGTGTCTGAACTAGAAAATGAATTGCTTATCTATTGAAGTCTTTGATGTTTTGGCTGGCCCCTGTTATTGCTTACAACTGCCTTTCCTAAGCATTCGTTAGGCATCCCTTTCAGGTAGCTTCATAAAAACTGGCTTATCAAGCAAAGTTAATATTTTTTAATTTCTATTTCCCTCCACCCCCAAAGAGCAGAATGAGTTTCATTCACTCCAACATACATTTGCGTTTCGCACTTGAAAAGTAGCTGCTTGACCACACCAACAAATAGAAGCAGGATCTGCAGTTGCAAGCAGGATGCTTATATATCGAGTCATATTTAAAGCATATAATTATTTCTGGAGTGCCCTACATTGAGAGTGTTTTAAGAGAGATCCTTGCATGTCTCAGAAACTGAGTAATGCCATTGGTTGTTTGCCTGTTCCTAACAGCTGAACTGTTGCTTCACTCACATGTCCTCACGTTGTCTGATATATCTGACTGAGATTTCTAGCTGATGATGTAGGCTACAGAATTTTTAAAAACCGTTCTATGATTTTTCTAATAAAATCCATTTAACTGTAGCAATTAAAAGCAAGCAGACAGGTAACAGCTGTGCATGTATCAGATATGCTATTCACTGAAGCAAATCCAAAATATATCATAGAATCATTTGAATTAGAAGGGACCTTTAAAGATCATCTAGTCCAACCCTCATGAGAGTGAAGGCATACCCACAGTTCCATCAGGTTTTCAGTGCCCAGTGCAGCCTGACCTTGAACATCCCAAGGACAAGGCATCCACCACTTCTCAGGGCAACCTGTTCCAACGCTTCACTACCCATACTGTAAAGGACTTTTCTCTTACATCTAAATCCTCGCTTCTTTAGTTTGAAACCATTTCCCCCATCCTGTCACAACAGACTCTGCTAAAGTATCTGTCCCCTTCTTTTTTCCAGCCCTGCTTTACTGAAAGGCCACTACCAGGCCTCTCTTCTCCAGGCTGAACAGCCTCCACTCTCAGCCTGATTTCCTCTCACTTGGACAAAGTCTAGATGCTGAATAAGGAGACTTAGTTTAGCATTAGCAATTGATATTTCTTTAACTCATGCAATAAATCAATGTAAATAAAATGGGTTTTCTACAACTTGTCAGTTTGGTCCTTAAGTAGAACATTCTGATATTATTTTGTTCTGCTTTTATTGCTTTTAAATTCCCTTTTTTTTAAAAAAAATAAATTAATTAAAAAACCACTTTAAAGGAGGGGAAAGAAAAACAAACAAAAACAATCTGCACCTTTTAATTAACTTTGAATGAACTTAACTAGCAAATACATTCTCTTAACCCACTAGTTAGCCCGAGGACAACAAACCAAATCTTTTTGCAAAACCAGAAGTGAATACCCTTACAGACTGGAGAAAACGTATATTGAAACCTAAGTCATATGTTAGGTCACATTATGACACTTCTCATTTAACAAATTAGTGTATCAGTGCATCTCAATACAATATTATCCCTTTAAAAGGTTATTAAATTTGCACTTAAATAACTTTTTAATACAAACAAACATTAGCAGTATTACAGAATACAATTTATTTGATCCACTTTAACACAAACATATACAGACAAAGAAGAGAACAGTAAATTCTCTGAATAGATCATGTTGTGATGATAGTTTGCTCCTTTATTAAAAAAAAAAAAAAAAATCAAGTACTGACAAAGAGTAAACATCTACTTTCCCTTCTTTTCCTCTCCTCTCTTCCCCCTCTCCCCGAGAAATTTAAGCTTCGTTAATTTTTTTATTATTATTATTTTTTTACATTGTTTGGGAACCAGTAGAATACTGTCATAGGGAATTTTGGTTCTTAAATAGATGGACTACGTAGACACAAAAAAGGAGTTTATAAGAAATTGTATTTGAGAAGCTTTAGAAATAATTCCTGCACGTACTTGAATACACAGCGCAGTTCAGTCCACAATTAACTGCATTTATCCAAAGCTATTTATTGAAATCAGAACTGGTTGATATGTCCATGATTATATTTCTACCTACCCACTACCATCTGAAAAAAGAAAAAGTATTTTAACAATGACATGCAGTTAATGTTTCCAATGAGTTATTTTACAGAGACAACATCAGAGACATCACCTTTAAGTGCCTGGAGCCTTTTTAATTCAACCAACTCTTAGAAAAATGCTTCACAGTTTTCAAAAACAACTACAGTTCATATATAATCTGAATAACTTTCATATAATTTATTAGGAATGAATGTAACCTTCTCAAAAAGCACACCCTTATTATTTTTTCCCCTTCTGCCTTCTACTTCCCCCCAAAAAAGCAGCAACTTCATAATTTAAAGTGACATTCAATTAGTCAGAAACATACTGTGTCCCACTACACTGGAAGAGCCAGCAGTGTGAGAATATGTACATGTTCTACACTGTTTGATGCGTAAAGCATCACGCCCATTCCTACTCATCCTTAATGCAGACTGTATCCTTTGGTTTATTAAGGCTCTTGACTTCATCCAGTAGTCTTCTAGGAGTCAAAACATGTGTAGAACCTGACAAAACAGCAATTTCAGTCTGATGCAGGTATGATTTACAATCATTCCCTCTTAAAAAATATATAGTAAAAACCACAGCTTTGTAACAAATACATACATAGCTAAATATTATACACACAAATATATACATATAAGTATCAGATAGAAGATAATACACTTGTGTTTTTTTCTGTACCTGGTCATCAGAAAAGTACAACAGTTCAAAACATTTTTATGTGTCCTATAAAGCATCATAACAATTAAACTGTCATGATTAGATAGCATCTCTCTTCCACACACCAAAGGTATTGAGAAGAAAGCCATGTCTCTTGACACTCTGCCCCTTGCCCTTAAATGAAGCCTGCCAGTATTTCAGGACCAGGAGAGACTGGAGAAGCGAAGAGGAGGTGGCAAACACTGCAAACTTACAACACTTAGTTTGGACACCAGTTTCAAGTCTCTACTCTGAGTGGTTTGAACCGCTGGCTTTAACCTGCCACCCTCCCTTCCCCCCCCCCCAGCTCTATCCAACAGACTGCAGGAAATCTGCCCATTCTGTCAGAGGCAGAGTTAGTGACAGGCTTTCTCCTAAAAATCAATAAAATACCTGCACTACATTATCATGAACAGTAGTTTTACACAGAAACATCACAGAAATTGCAGTAATATGCAAGTGCAGCTGTGTAAGTCCATTTAATCATTTTTGCTATACATCAGGCTACAATACTATCATAATATATTTCCTCTGATAATTCATGATGATTTTTCCATAGTTTTCAAAAATAATTTACCCATAATAATTTATCCATTTTTATTGTGAAAGAAAAACCCGATCTTCAATCACTCTAGATAGAAGTAACTTTTCAGTTTAAATGTCTAGTTTAAAATAATATATTGGCTGTAGCATTACTTAGCAGAATCAACTTCCAGTGAAAAAAAAAAAGCTCCTGTTTTTAACAGGAAAGCATTTCACGACTACATACTTGTGCTTGAAGTAAATCACTGCTTACCACCCCTCCCCTTCCCCAAGCTAGGCTTACCAATGATAACTTCACAAGACTTGAAGGCTTGAGAAACTTCATAAGCGCAGCGCATCTCCGAGTACGTAATTCCTCCAATCACAAATAAAATCAACCTGGCTTTACTCCTTCGCTCATCTGGATAGCTAGCTTTAGGCTTCTGGCGAGCACTGCAATGCATTCCACAACATTTACACAGTTGTAATGATCTATCTGTCTGTAAAAATGATACACTTAACAGCAGCAACAGCTCATACAGCAAAATTCAGATAACTGTTAACTACAGCAGTAAGTTAGAACATTACACAGAAGCTATTCCACTATCAAAAGGGAAAATAAATACAAAGCAAAACCCTCATTGCTTCTCTACTAAGAAGCTTAGTTCTGCCTGCTACCAGTTACAGTGGCAGCTTTCAAAGTTCATTTGAAAAAGCTAAAATCCTAAGTCTTACAGTCTCTGTGAGCAGAATAAAACTAAGAATATTTGTCTGTTATCAAGAAAGATTCAGAAATCTAGGAAAAGAAAAAACAAAGCACTTAAAACATATTCTGCAATTTATATATGTATACAAACACTAATAGTAGATTCAAATTACACCATCAGCACTCAATCTCTTTGCTAGGTTGCATAAACTATCATCCAATTTCATCAGCTTATAAGACAAAGAAGTGGTTACAGTGCAGAGGGATTTGATTTATGGGCTATGTTTATCATAGCCATCATCCTGCATCACATCCTTATCTCTGAACTGGAAAGCTGTGGATTTGGAGAATGGACTATGTGGAGGTTAGAACTACATGATTTTTACAGTCCCTTCCAACCTAAGCCATTCTATGACTGGATTATTTCCTTGCACTGATCATTCTAGTGAAAGTCCAGGAACATAAGGACACACCAGCAAAGTGATAAACAGTGGAGGAAACAGAACTATTTTCCTAAGACTGTGTATCTTGAGCCTTGTCTCATAGAAAACACAAATTCCAGTGAGTACTCAACTCCTAGTATAAGTGTCATGCTTCACTCCCTATGAATTCCAGCATCTAATTAGTATTATGAGCAAAAAAAATCCATTTCTTCAACAGTAGGAACACTTATTAAATGGTGACACAGCTGAGAAGAGGTAATTAATACTACTAAAAGTGGTAACACCGTCAAGTTGGCAGATACCAGCCTGGAAATTCAAGAACTACTAGGACAAAGCAGAAAAGTACAATTTACTAAGCTAGAAAAAAATCCATCATTCCCTCTCAGCGCTGCTGAGCAAACAACCCCTATAACACGGTTCAGTTACGTATTGTAATCATGCAAATAAGCAGCAGAGGTTGAATATGAAACTCAAGGCATTATTTTCAAGAACGATGCCACCAAACACCACTGCAGAAGTAACTGTCAGAAGTAGTGAAAAGAATTCATTATGCTTAAGTCACAGTACAATCGTC